GTGTGCTGTTGTAAGCATTGGCTTCCGCTTTGAGACGCACTCCATCTGCAAGAGGCAGGCAAGTGTCACTTCAGAAACACAAAATCAAACTGGACAACTACTCCAGCCAAACGATACCAACAAAAAAATCTCGGTGAATGGAGACCTGAAGTTGATATGTCAGCCAATGGACATTGGGGGGACTGCATATCCTTGGACTGGTGAAATCAACAGCATTTCAGAACTATTCAAACCATTTGGGCAGAACCCTCGGAATATGCACAAATTGGGACCCTGGGTTATAACAGGTGGTGGATCCTCATCCCTGGCTACTGGGACATTTAAAAAGTCATATGTGGCTCCCCTCTTTTTCTCTCCCCTTCCCCTAGAATCAAGAAATAGCAAATTTGGAAACAATGAGTTCACCCAATTTTCCCTAAACCTGGATCAACCATGTAATCATTATTTTAAAAAAATATTTTTTTTAAATGCTGTTAATTTCTTTTTTCTTCCTGTTATTGATTTTGTTTTGTGGTTTTTCACTTAAGGGGATGTATAGTAACTGCGTAATGGAGACTATCATATCCAGATGTGAAGATACTATGCATCTCTACTTCCAGATCAAAGATGGACTCCATGAAACTGTTTATTATGCCTGTGTGCCATTGTCCATGCCCTCAATAATGGACATATGACTGCGTATGAAGAACTATACTATAAGAATAATATAGGTGAACTCAGTGGGTTGCGGAGGGAATTGGGGAGGGAATAAGGGAAATCCCAGGGCCGATGGAACTGTATCATAAAATGAGAATTATAATGATAATAATAAGAAGAAGAAGTAAAATTTTTAAAAAAAGAAACACAAAACCATTCCTCAAGGGCAGCACAATCTAAAACACAGCCTCAAAAATGCATGTGAGCATTTACATTGAATAAAAATAAAATAACCTTAGCAGCAAGTTCCTCAATCCAACTAGTCAGATTTCCAGTGTTCAACAGCCACATGCTGCTAGTAGTTACCAACCAGAATGGCACAGAAAAGTTTTGGGAATGCTTTATTCTAGGGTCAGCAAGGGCTAACATAAAATAGGAAGGAGTCTCCCCACTATGATAACGTCTCAGCTTCACTACATTACACTTCAGATTTTCTCTGTTGACGAAGGGTACTTACATTTTTAACCCTTAACCCATTTTTTCTCTGACATACATTATCTTAAGCCCAATATTTGCATAGACATTTAGCTGCACTCTCATTCCTGACTAAAAATCACATGGCTACAACAGCCATCAAAATACTAAAAAGTCCCAAAGGTTCATATCAATTCCCATTATTTTTATGAGTCATAGAATTATATTTTCATCTGTCTACTGCATATATATATATATATATATACACAGGAGTACAACTTAGCCATTTCCAATTAATCTGAAGATAAAAATCTTATTTATTGATTTAAAAAATTGTATTTTTTAACCCTCTTCTTTTTTTCACTCCCTATCTCAGTTAATGTGCTTAATCAATGTTTTAGCTAGTATTTAGTTAGCATCCCTTGCGCTCTTAATGTAGTAGGGCTATATTCGTGGAGCATCTGCACTTCTAGGATCAGAGGGAAACACAGGAGTCTAAATTGATTCAAGCATTACAAAAATTATGAGAACAGGTTCAAGGCTGAAAGGTGAATACCAGCCAGGAATAAGACTGAACAAATTAAACAGAGAATTGAACAAGGGTAGTATCGCTTATTTTTGCTCTATGTTTGTAGAACTGATAGAATGATGATAAACAAGAAGACATTCAGTTTAGTCAAAGAACAAATCCAGGAGGCACTACACAACACTGCAGATTCAGCCCAGTTCTCTCAAGTTTTTCCTAGATGAAAATGCTCAGAAGAATACCACTGTGCAAACCAGGAACCACCTAAGGACTCCCATGAGGATTAACCTTAAAACAGAATGGGCGCTACCTGCTATGACATGCACATGGTGCAAGAGAGTAGCCACAATGAAAGGTTTGGGACCGAAGAAAACAGGCATTGTCCTCCTCAGCCTATGGGTCTTCACATCAAGCAGCTGCTTTTCCCATCAGACTCACATGCTAGATACTAGCTCTCTGCGACCATTTCTAACTCTCTATACCCCATTACAGAAACTGAATAAACGAGTGATTGCATCTATCCCTACACTGTATCTTCTTGCCGTACAACTCTACAGAACTACGGAATTAATTCTGCAGTTCTTAACATTTAACACTGCTACTTCCACACTTAGATAACATAAATTTATTCATCACAGTCACAATCAGCTAGCCTCTATGTACCCAGCCTTTAGAGTACAGTTAAACACACACACACACACACACACTCACACACAAATTTCCCACCAGCTTCCCAAGACCAGTGCCTATACTAACAGGCTTTTAGACAATTATTCATGCCTGCCTTCCACTGTCCTACCCCACCACAGCCCTGCTTATACAACACTATTTCTACGTGCAGCACATAAGATACACTATTAATAGAAAAATTCTGGCTTGGAGTTTTGTGGTAAAACATATGTTCAAAAAGGCTTTGAAAAAACTTGCTTCCCAACACTTAAGCCCATATTCTCTTTCAGAAATAACTGCTTGTATCTTCCGGTCACCTTACCTCGGCAATATACTATTCCCTTTATGTGAAACTATTTTTTTAAAAACTCAGATGAAATTCTTTATCCTCTCTGGATCTTTTTTATAGAGATAATTTCCTTATAAGGCAAAACTGGTCAAACATGAAAGAACAATTAAATTTTACTTCTTCATGGATTTTTCTCTGATTAATCCCATTGCTTTTAACTTTCCAACTTAGTTCAAAATTCTAAATAAAAAAGAATGATTTCCATGTTAATTTTCCAAAGGATACACACACAAAAAAAGCAAAGTCTGTTCCACAATAAGTTGCTTTATGCTCTTTGTTGTTATCTCACTATCAATGACACATGTGCACTGGTGACTGCATATTTGTATAAAATCAGCAATCTATGAAACCAAGCACATTTCATAGCTGAATAATTAATCCTTATTTAAATTATGTGGAATACTGCCTTCTCCTATATCAGCAATGGTTAAGAGGCTACTCTATCGAGTTAATGTTGATTTTCTCATCAGTTCGTCTCTACTTTAAAAAAAAAAAAAAGGAATCCTAGCATCTTCCAAAATGGTAGTAACACAAAATTTGAAAGTATTTAAAAGTCTCTTGACATGCAGTTCTCCCCTAATTCAATTGAATGGAAACAACTGCTTCTACAGAATTAACTTCCTCCATGACAAATTCCTATGTGGATTAACACACCCTTTCCTAGTTAGTGACACTCCCCACAGTCACATCCAGCTTCATATATCTCCTCTTTTCAATTCCGTCTACATTTTGGCCTTCAGTTCCACTCAAAGCTTGTGAGCTGACATCCTCTTTGTCTTCCTGTTTGTCTACCTATTTCCTTCAAAACGAACAGATACAGAAACGTGTAGATTGAATACAGTTTTCTAAGTAAATGCTGTATGCACGTTAAAATTCTGAAGGTGTATGTACAAATGAGATGTTAAATAAACAACATTGTAGCTTTAGACAGAGCATAAAGGTGGTATCATAAAACAGGTTCGTTCATATTTTCTGTATTCATTTTTTCCACAGTATACTTTATATCTTATTTTAAGCTTACTACTATTTTCAACAACAAACTTTCTAAGTTTATACAGATGTAAATTCTCTATTGTATACTCAGTTTCATTTTTCCTTCTTTTTTTTTTATTAGTAAAGACATTAACAATAAAATAGGCTCCCTTGCTCCAGCTGGTAATTTCTCAGTACTAGTAATATATTATTCCTCTTTTTGTGACATCATAATCATCTATACAGAAGTACCATGTATCTTTGTGTAGAAGCTACTGTTTCCATTAAATTTAATTACCTCCCCCTGTGGTTTTAAATAGAAGTGGCTTCAAAATGAGGGCAGCTTCTATTAAATTTAATTACTTTCTCCTGCTGCTTGCATGGTAAAAAGGAGGCTACTAAATAGGAGCAGCTTCTAAACTAAAGTATATGGTAACCGTGTGCTAGCAATAACAAAACTCAATCTGAACTACCATTCCAGGGAGCCCTTTCTCCTTTGTCTTACATTAATTTTTCAGCCCTAAGATTTTAAAATAAAATGAACATTAACACTGAGGAAAAATATCTGTTAAACACAAACTTAAGTTTCACAGTACCCCGGCACATAATTATTTTTACAAACACACTGGAAATTGTTTGACTCAAACACTGAAGCTCAGAACTTTTAAGACTAGTACCATTTGTTATTTGGTCTCTAAGGATGATGGGATTTATCCCTTGCACATTTTTCATGTCCACTAAAAAGCCTTTCATGATTCTGATCAAATGGAATTAAAGGATGTTTCACTAAAAGTTATTAAAAAGGCATAAAATCTGAAATATTTTCAGAGAAAGAGTCAAAAATAGTAAGAATGAAACAAAAAAAAGTTTCAAAGACTGCTGTCTTTAAAAAGAAGCTAATTAAATGCTTTGTTATGAAAATGTAAACCACTTTAAAAATATCATCATACACCCCTATAAAATCTAATAGAAGTTGAAATTTTCGGCACCTCTTTTTAAATTAAATATTAATTAACAGAAAACACTATTTGGCTAAACCAGCAGTGCACAATGTTTATTTTTATATACATGCAGAATTTAGATGAACAATATTCCCATTCAATCACACAGTTTAGTATAAATATAAAACAAGACACCCCTTAAGCATTTTAAGTAACAAATTAAACATTTACATTTTTTACTGTGCACTGAGGCTTAACATTTATGCAGCTTCAAAACCAAAGTACAGCCCCAAGGGAAGTCCCTCCACTGACAAATTAATACCTTAGAGAACAGAGCTGAATGGTGGCGATGAACTCATTTGTTCCCCCAATAATGAAGAATGACTTTTTCTTTACCACATCTGTGACTGTTGCTATGGTGACCCAGACTTACCTCACTGCTTCTCGGAGAGCTCCTCGCTCACCAAGAGTGGTGTGCTTGATGTCATCAAAATTATTCTCCAGCTTTTCACAATTCTGCAACATATTTTTTTAAAAGAGCATTAATCCCACAACATCCTGAGGAAAATCATGTCTATGCAATTATGTGAAATTGTAATTGGTTATATTGATTATGGACTCAAAAAATATGCTCACTACTTTAATTGGATAGAATTCATTAAAATTGACAGTTGAATTCAACACTAACAAACTAAAAAGATCTTAAGATACAGCTGTCAAAGAAGTCTTTTTATCAATTTTTCAAAATGAGTAAATGGAAGAAACGAATAAATGTGTAAAATAGTAAAACTTCTATAGAGTTGAGGATTTAAAATATCTCCGGAACAATCAAGAACACCAAAGTCAAACTAAATGCTACAAGAAAAATGAGGCAAGTTCTAAGTCATAATAAATAATAATTAGTTAACAATTACTAACATAGATAAAGCCCAGATATAAGTTCCTAAAGTTAAATAGCCACAAACTTTTATAGCCACATATTTAAGTAACAATTATACATTATACATAAATATAGTCCTTAAAATTTTATATCATTCTGAGAGGCATGTTAGCATTCAGTAAATATGACATAAATTCATTCAATATTACAAGTGATTATTTTTCTATCAAACATTATAACAGCACTCCTGGACTGAATTCTAGCGTGTTGGTAAATTTGACTACAACTATAAATAAGAGTACATTATAAATCTAAAACTGTTCAATATTATATGGCCTTAGAAGGAAAATGTCACATTTAAGACTTAGCAAATATAACTATATAAATCTTTTGGCACATTAAATGTATTGTAAATTTTCACTTGTATTTAGAAAATAGAACTAAATATTTTAAATTGCACATAGAAAAATCAAACAATAAAATATATGCATTCTGTGCTTTCCTACTTCCAAAATTGCAAATAAATATGCTACATTTTTGAAAAAGTATAGAACTAAGATTAATAATTTTTAATGTACAAGATCATTTCACACAAAATCTACTAGGACATAGACCATCATTTTACCTTAAATGTTTAAGCCAAAATAAAGCAAACTTTTTTTTAACCCAATATATATGCTGGTATAACAAAAATCTTAAAGGTTACCAAAATAGATCTGCTGGATGTTAGCACCATAAATATCCCGCTATTGCTCTGTCTTTTCACTTTTTAACTATTGATTTTCTTGAAGAATCTTATATTTAATGAAGCTCAAACTGTCATTCTATTTTAAAATTACTGCATTTGTTACCCTGCTTAAGAAGATTATAAATTCCTCAAAACCATGAAAATATTTTCCTGTGTTCTTTCAGAAAGCTCCATTATTTTACATTTCCAATGTAGATGCAGAATCTGGGATGATATTCACATATGATGTAGAAGCAGAAAATCATACCATGTGGGTAAGCAATTAAATCAGTCATATTTATTGAAAATTTATCTGTAATTCAAAGTATTTTTTCTATAAATTAAGTCACAATACACATAGAGTCTATTTCTGAAGTCTATTCTGTTTAAATGTTCAAATTGTTATACTGGATCCAGTCCTATTCTATTTTAATTACTTCTGTCCACCATGCAGTATCCATAAATAAATATGAAAAAAAGGTAACTCAATAGAAAATAGGCAAAATAATTATGTAAACATTATATAAAAGAGAATATCCAAGTAGCCAATTGTAAAAAAAAAAAAATCAGCATCACTAGTCATTAGTAAAATGCGAATATTTAAAAGTTATGTTCTGTATTTCAACAACATTGCAACAGAGAGGGGAAAAAAGAAGGCATGGAGGGAAGGAGGAAGACAGAGATGGAGATCTCCCATCTTTCGGCTCACTGCACAATTGCACACAGAACCTGGCCAGGGCCAGAATGAAATCAGAAGCCAAGAACTCCACTGGCTGCCTCCCAAGGTGTGAGCCAGCAGGACGCTAGACAAGCAGGAAGAGGAAGGAAGCTCTTCCAGTTGCTCCTACATGGCTTAACCTACTTCATCAAAATGCTAGCCACTACATGCCAAGCAAGCCATAAAGAAACATCACAGCATATTTTGAAAATGTATGAATGTCAAAAAAAGCTACACAGATATTTATTTTTTAAGTATTAGAAAATAACTAAAACACTGTTGGCAAAACTGCTAATTATTACTAAGTTATATAAATTTACTTGAGAGTACCTTATGGGTCTGCCTGGAAGAAATACAGTCTATGTTTACCAGAACTCACAGTCATACTTTTCAAACTAGCCCAAAGGTGGATATAAGCCCACCAAAATTTAAGACAGAACACAGGAATAAAGCATGATATTTATTCCTGAAAAGCACTGATATTATACATTCTATCACTACAAGGAGTACAATGAATACATCTCATGACAACAGACACTGTATTAAGCAAAAGAAGTAAGTCACAAAGAGAGCAGTGAAAATTAATCTACTCATATTTAGTTCAAAAACAGGCAGTTTCGATGAATAATTCAAAAAGGTATTATGATACCTTCATTTAGAAACACACTATAAAAAGAGTGTTTATTAATAAGTGTAACAAAACAAACATAATTCTTAGGCATGAAAAATTACAAAATATTAAAAGAAAGAACACTTAAACAAAGGAAAGACATCCTTAGCTCATGAGTTTTGAAGACTTATCATTGTTAAAATAGCACAACTCCCTAAAGTAACCTACAAGTTTGATACACTTCTTACCAGAATCCCTGCTGGCTTCAGATTTTGACAAAGTGACCCCAATATCTCAAGCAAATGTAAGGAACCCAGAATAGCAAAATAATTACTGAATTCAAAACAAATGAAGCTATAAGAATTATATTCCCTGTCCCATAACTTAATACAAAGCTATATGGTCAAGATAATGCAAGAAGAGTGGGCTTTGCACGATGGCTCAGTACCTAAAATCCTTTCCTTGAACGCACTGGGTCCCCATATCAGCAGCACGAGTTCCTACCCCAGCTGCTCCATTTCCCATCAAGCTCCCTGCTGTGGCCTGGGAAAACAATAGAAGATTGCCCAAAGCTTGGGACCCTGCCCTGCCCTCCCATGGGAGACCCGAAAGAGGCTACTGGGTACTGGCTTTGATTAGCTCAGCTCCAGCCATTAGGACCACTTGAGGAGTGAACCAGCAGATGAAAGATCTTTTTCTCTGTCTGCTTTTCCAATAAAAATAAATCAATCTTTAAGAAAAAAAAAAAACAAATAAAAATACAAACCAATGGAACAGAATTGAGAACTAAATGTTTATATTCTTTATCGTTGTGGTTCCAACAAGGGTGCTAAGATAGTTCAAAGAGAGAAACAACAAATGGTTTTGCAACAGTTGGAAAATGACATAGACCCTAATAGAGTCAGATGCTTCCTTGATACAAGACACAGAATCAAATCAAAATGGATCACTGACCTAAATGTAAGAGAGGAAAGTTAAAAAATACTAAAAAAAAAAAAAAAAAGGAATAAACATTCATGACTTTGGAACAGCCAAAGATTTCATGTGTGATCAAAAGTGTAAGTATCAAAAATAATGAATATTGAATTTCAGCACAATTTCAAATATGTGTGACTCATGGACACTAGTAAAAAATGAAAAGACAACCTAAAAATATAAAAAAGTATGAGTAAGTATGAGTAAGTCATACATCTCATAACGGTTTTTATCAATAATAAAAACAATTTTTAAAAGAACAATGGTCTTGAGTGGATAGTTCCTGACACCCATTATCCTCCAGGTCTCCTACCAGTGAATCTAGACACCTGAAATAAACCAGTAGATAGAAGATCTCCCTCTCTCTCTCTCTCTCTCTCTCCTCCCATATACATACAAATATGTACATGCACATATGAATATATATGTATACATACCTATAAACATATATAAGAAAATAAACAAAATGTTTACAATAAAAAAATTCTCACAAAAAATATGAATGCTGGTCTCGCATGGTAGTCTACAAGCTAAAGTCCAAGCCTTAAATGCCCAGGATCCATAAAGAAGCCAATTGGTATCCCGGTTGCTCCACTTCTCATCCAGCCCCCCATTTGTGGCCTGGGATGGCAGTAGAAGATGACAAGAACTTTGGGATCCTGCAGCTATGTTGGAAACCCAGAAAAAGCTCCTGGCTCTTGGCTTTGGAATGGCTGAACGCTGGCCACTGCAGTCATTTGCAGAGTGAACCAGTGGATGGAAGATCTTTCGCTCTGTCTCCCATTCTCTCTGTAATTCTGACTTTCCAACAAAAATAAATAAATCTTGGGCCCGGCACAGTAACTTAGCAGATAAAATCCTAGCCCAAAACATTCCAGGATCCCATATGGGCAGCGATTTTAAATCCCGCCTGCTCTGCTTCCCATTCAGCTCCCGGCCTGTGGCCTGGGAAACTAGTCCAGGACGGCCCAAGGCCTTGGGATCCTGCACCCATGTGGGAGACCCAGAGGAAACTCCTGGCTCCTGGCTTTGGACTGGCTCAGCTCCAGGCATTGCAGCTACTTGGGGAGTGAATCAGTGGATGGATGATCTTCCTTTCTGTCTGTCCTCCCCTTTGTATATCATACTCTCCAATAATATAAATAAATCTTTTAAAAAGTATATAAATGTATGCAGAAGTATCATTCATTATATTCACAAAAGAAACAACCCAAAAGTCATTCAAGTGACAAATCGAGTAACAAATGTACTGTACTGATGTAACAGAATGCTATTTGTCCAAAGAGTGAAACTGTGATAAAGTGATATATATCGCAACATGTGAAAGAAATGAAAAGTCATACTAAGTTAATAAAGAGAGAGCAGGGTTCAGACCTGTGGTCATATTTTAATTATGCAGTGTAGATTAGCAAAAAGAAAAAAAATTTATATATATTCATGGTTGTTGAATTGTACCATTTTTAAGGTTTATTTATCTTAAAATTTCAGTTCCTTGAAAGCAAGTGAGTAGAAATAGATATTTTCACAAGCTGATTCAATTCTCAAATGTTAACAACAGAGGATGGCTTAAAGTCTGGGGAACCTGCCTTTAACCTGCATGCAAGAC